CATTGAATCGTTTTTTTATCATACAAACACACTTTAACTTGATGTTTAAAACCTGTAGCAGTTGTGACTGTGTATACCTACATAAAAGGCCTGACAATGCAGTTGTGACGATGTCCTCGAATGTTTTAAGTGTGGTCACCGCGGCTATGGCCACTCACATGGTACTGATTATAAACGCTTGCTCGTTTTCCGTCCTTTTCAAAAAACACTTTCGAAAGTATAATCTTCAGGCTACTCATAAAACTGAATAATCAAACGGGGGCTTCCGTCTCAGACGGAGTCCTTCGACTCAATCGATTGTGCAAAGTTCTCATCTCAGAGTAGGATTCCGTCAGACGAGGGGGTAACAGGCTTTCGGCTCAATCGAGGGTGGAAAAGTTCTCAGAGTGAGGGGGTAGGTTACATTCTTTCGGCTCAATATAGGGTGGCAAAGTTCTCAGAGTAGGGCGAAGCAGTTCTTCTCCCCAGACGAGGGCTGTGTTCGATAAGTACCTACCGGGCTCCGTTCGTATCGAATGGCGTCCGTGTCGCTTTACAGTTTTCCAATTGTGTACACACCGCCAGCACGGATGGTGTCCATCTATGTAGGCTGCGTTACGCTCCATCGAACCGCCGGCTTTTCTATTCCGCGCGCTCGCTCGAAACGGGGACAGTGCCGAATGCCGCACGTCTCGGACCCTTTGTCCTTTTTTTATTTTTATATTTTTTTTACTTTATTTGGAAGCATAGACTTAATAGGCCGCGCGAAACTTAGTGAAGTTCTTCTAAAATTGGTGAAATGGTTTCTTTTAGATACTACATTTTTTATACTTCTTTTTCTTTTTGTTTTATTACCTCTACTTAATGTCAGACAGTAGAAGAAACTGTCTCGCGGTGCCGATTTCCCTTGGTACGTTACGTGCATTTTGAGAGTTCATCTTTTTAAATATTTTACAAAGTCAGGGTTGCGGGAGAGTTTGTTGCGGAATCGTATTTTATGAAGCAGCGAGAGAAAAGATGCTCATGGTCTTTTGCATGTTCTTCTTTGCGATGCCAAACCTTAAGAGCCCGAGTCCCTGGTAGCGCTCAGTCACAACAAGAAACGTAAAGATTAAAAAATTATGCGAACTCTTAATGCATCGCAGTGTAACACGACCCAATAGACGGTGACTACCTGTGAAAATATGCGGGAAGTCGATGTATGCAGGTTGCTCAGGATCGTACTCCTTTATACTCCATAAATGCTAATATTTCACGCCGGTCTTTTTGAGTATTGACCCGGCTCAATTACTTAGTAGTGGTTTTTCTAGTAGTAGTAGTAGTAGTAGTAGTAGTAGTAGTAGTAGTAAGCAAAACATTAAGCATGTACATGTACTCATTGCTCCAGAATGTCATACGCTGTCCGAAAGGCAAAATCTCTGACGGTCATCAACTTATGTAGGTAACTGTTGTGTAATACGGTATTTAGTGGTTTTGTTTCCGTAAGTGCATTTTTTAAATCACACTACACGAAAATGGAGGAATGTTTTTTTTTTTACGCTTTGTTTATCCGTGCTCATTTCGTGCCGAAACGGTTGGATTGATTTCTACTTGGTTTTTCATCGCCAGTTACCTACACTTTATTTATTTCTCACTTTTTAGTAAATGCTACAGCTGTTCCTTCCTTAAAAGCAATTACGGCATATCTTTTTAAAGGTAATTATTATAATGAAGCAACTATAAATATATTAAGTGTCTCTGATAACTGAAAATTCCGGTTCTAAAATAATCAATAGATGTAGTGAATATCCGATTTGAATTTGTATTGAATATAGACTATAGAAACTAGAGCCGCTATCGACAAATCAAATTGAATTAGCTTTGGCGTCATGGGTCGTCGGTTTGTCGTATGGAACAAGTACAACAGTACAATTCCCTTAAATTTCCTAAATCTACCAATTTAGAAACGTTTTGTACCCATATCCTCATAATTCCAATTAACCGGTTACATATGGGTTTAGTTGTTTGTTTTTTTAGAAAGAGAAAAGTAAATGGAACGTGAACTAATGTGAAGAAATTCTATAGCGTCGTATCGTGCGGGATGCTAGGCCCACTAATAGCGAAACCCGTGTATATGTAAATCACGACAATTAATCATATATTTCTCCGGTAGCGTGGTCACACCATATTCCGCGTCGTACCGTGGCATGCAAATTAATGCACGTTTATCTTATCGCAATCGTAATGCGTATATTTCGTGAGCGGGTTCACCGTTGACGCGCAGTCCGCAATCTCGGCAGCGGAGAGCTAGCGGCCATTTGTCACGGAAGTCTGTCGGGCTGTCGTTGTTTATGTGATTATGCGTCGACGATGGCCGGACGTAGCGTGCCCGCGATGGCGGGAAGAATCGTCCGCTCGGGAAGCCATCGGTAAAGAATATCGATTGGGACCGCCACGGCGCGTCCCTAAATCGTGTCGCGTCCGACGCTCAGACGGTTTTCACGTATAAAAACGTTCCCGGCGATCGGCGAATATCCGTTACGATATAAGTTGTTCATGTTCTAATTACCATTTATCGATAATAGGCGTCCCGACCCGATACTCTTTCTTTGGTAATTTTTAGGGTTCCGTACCCAAAGGGTAAAACGGAACCCTATTATTAATACCCCTGTCTCATGACTCCTGATAGTAAGACAGTTGAAATTTTCACAGATGATGTATTTTTGTTTTCGCTATAACAACAAATACTACTTAGAAACAATAAAAAAACAATTTTAAGTGGGGCTCCCATACAACAGACATTTTTTGCCGTTTTTATAGATAATGGTACGGAACCCTTCGTGCGCGAGTCCGACTCGCACTTGGCCGGTTTCGTGTGTTTTGTATTTCATGTTATCCGTATTCATTTGCCAGAATAAACACTCATTTAAATTCATATGGTCGAAATATTTTTGTTTTATTAAATAGTTTCCCACGGACTCGCAAGTGAACGTCTTCGCTTTTACGCGACTTTAGAAAGTCGCCTACTCGTAGCAAACAAAACCATTGCCTGGTGCATGCAAAGCCCTTTGACCTCGAACCGTAGATGTACTGTTGAGTCATTGCCCGTCAACAAAGAGCTTCCATGCCCATGCATACATACAAAGCACTTTTATGCACACTCGTGTCTAGTAGAAAACCGTGTCAGTCGCCTATGTAGGCCGGGGCTTTAATAGACATTTACTTTTCACTGCGTGCACAAAACTTGCTCGAAAGTTGAGTTAAATATTTTTGGATTTTACTACTATCTACAAAATGAACATCAGTTACAATTCGCAGTTCAATTATAGAAAGCAACCCTAGTCCTTTTTTGCATTAGTCAAGGTTCTGAGCTAAAACAACATTACACATAAATGCATTCCCATTTCGTTGAAAATGCTAGTCTGCCCTTCTACAAATTATATACTCTGTGGGTTGTGACATGAATCTGTGTGTTCTTTGCAAAACTTTTAGATTGAAACATTCGTTATTTTGCCTGCGCGGCGATGTTTCCGCAAAACAGCGAATTGGTAGCTATTTAATTTACTGTTTACCAGTTCCACAATTCAGATACTCTTTACAATATTCCGAATATTCTTCCTCCTCCACTCATTAATGCGTGTGCTATTATTACTGTGTTGCTCATTAATAATAGTTAATGCTATTATTAATGAGCATCACACTAAGTAACAGCACATCATACTATTAATAATAGCATCATGTGCTGTAACTAAGTTTTCAAGAAGTAGTAGACGTATTTATTACATCATACCTAATTATTTCTAAATAATGAAGATAGTAACACCAAGAACTTCGGATTTGACATGTGATGCAATTGTATTATTAGAACCGCCCTGGACGAAAGTAATTAGGTACGAGTCAGACACATGGCAGCTTAGCGAGTACGAGATTAGTTATGACGTAACACGCACACGGTCTCCAACATATTGAGCCGCATATGCCGTTGAGACTTCAACAAATTTCAAGGCCTCAAACTAAAATGTTAGACTAAACAAGATCATATCTAGGCAAATGTTTGAACTCTACGTATTAGCTTCATTCGGCAGTGTGTTACGAAATAGAAATAAAAATCTGTTACGATTCATTAAAATCTAAATCTAAAGACGTGTCCGAAGTACCTCGGTCCTTTATAGATCCTCTATTCTCTTCTTGGAATCGTTTCACGGCCTTTTCTTCGCTTTCTGAAGTTTTCTGCAGATGTAATTTAATATCCAACGACAATTGTTCCTCACGATCGTTTGACAAGCGCGATCGCTCGGCGTAGCTATAAAGCCTCCGCGATAATTCCACAAGAGTTGTTCGACATATGTAAGTCCTCGCGCTGAACGCAATGTACACAATCGAACACGGCGTCTTGTCACCCAACAATGCCCTCATGAATATTCAGCCGCGAAGGCTTCATCTTGCGTACGCTCGCAACGTTACGCCACGAGCGTAGTTGTCTATGAGCATGGAGATGTTAAGTGAATGTAATTGGTAATGCAAGCCAAACAATAAACAGTATGGGTGGTGTGACACTGAATGACGGCTTACAAAATATTTGGGAACTTGTTAGTGAAGTTCAAAGATTTAGAAACTTGGAAAGATTTTATTAGGAATATTGTGTATCAAGAGGTTGAATTCTGTGTCTTCTTCTCTAATAGGTGTTATATCTTCAGGTTTATATACGTATACGTATGAAACGTTTTTCAATAGGCCGAAAAGTTTTCATCGTTGAAATCCAATATCTTGATAGTTTTATACGTTGATTATTGATAGTTTTCATTTTGTGATTGTTATCGATAGTGCGATGAAAAGATTGAATATTGCCGGTACCTTTTTAAATAATAGATAATTTTTATCTGTCATCATAACTAAAGCCGACAAAGGAATGTTCCTTTTCCATTAACTTCAATTGTATAGTGTTATTAGAAGTTAATCATGACGGGCTGGAAGATCTATTGCTAATCCATAGAGTGGAGATACTTGTGTAACTTGAGTAACCATGTATTGTTTTGTTACAGGCATCGACGATAGACGGACGACGAAAAGGAGCATGTCTGTTTTGCCAGGAGTATTTCATGGACCTGTACCTCTTAGCCGAGCTCAAGACAATCAGTTTAAAAGTGAGTTAATTGATTAAGTTGATATGAATGCAATTCTTGGTATGACGTTAGCAACAATTTCTGTTAAACCTTTTTAAAATAAAATGACCAATTATATCTAACTGGGTGAAGAAATTTTACTGAATGTCTCTTCTAATCGAGTATAAGATCACAATAATGAATCCTTGGGAGCAATTAACTCCTAATTCAGTTATAATTGAGTTCGAATCATCCATGTTAATCTTGTTAACAACCCGTTTCCGAGTTTTCTAATAACGAGACTGTTGAAATTCCACAACTCAATCAATCTGTTGACTAAGGCAAAAGTTCATGGTTTTCATGGTTATTACAAACTGTAAAGGATATTCATGGAAGAACAACAACTTTTTCTTTTAAATGCACTTAATGGAAACCCACCGGAAACACTCTGGCTCTACACTGCTCGTTACTATATCAATGTTTACAAGGATGTGTCTCCTCTACGCTGATCGGCAGCCGTGATAATAACCGGTTGAAGCAGCCAGTTCATGCAAAGTCAGCCGCTATGCGGTTTTAACACGTCCATAAAGGTTATTTTAAAAACATATGCATGTCATAAGCCTCGGTCACACAACGCGAAAACTCGTCGCGAGTGTATTCGCTGCGATAATTTACGGTAAATTAAAGTAGAAGTGTTACACTTCTGCGTTTCGTCTGGTGAGTGAGGTAGCCGGGGCCCACTTTATTTACAGGTGGCAACGTATTCGCAACCCTACGGGCGTTGCAAATGTCCATGGGCGTCGGTCATCACTTAACATCAGGCGAACCGCCAGATCCTTTGCCACTTTCCCACATTAAAAAAACTGAATCCATTCATATCAGCGAGTAGCCTGTCACATCACGTGCGAGTGCGTAATCGAAGCGAGTATTCGCTGCGTGTGTTCGAGGCTACATGTTGACATGCTCGATGGGTTATTTTACCCCACACGTGTTGCCCTTCCGTAGGTGACGACAGTCGACATGCAGAAGCCGCCGCCGGACTTCCGCACCAACTTCGAGGCGACGCATCCCCCTATCCTGATCGACAACGGCCTTGCGATTCTGGAGAACGAGAAGATAGAGCGGCACATCATGAAGTCGGTGCCCGGCGGTCACAACCTGTTCGTGCAGGTATATCTTTTATCGATCTATAGCAATGGCGATAGATCGCGCAAAACTTAAGTATGTAAGCAAAACATCTGCGCATCATTCAATAACTATGTTGTCAAAATGGACTAACAATTGCCACAACTGTGTATGTGCGCAGTGACCGATGAACTTCTGAGGTACGAGTACTTTATTACTTAACTTGGCACTTACTTATTTCTAATAAAATTGTAGGACAGCAGTCCTTGAACTAGCTTCTTGCCTTTATTTGGACTAATCGAAATCGATTATTTGGTATGTTTTGCCTATTCTTTTAACAGGTGTTGTTATTGTATAATTCACCTATAGCGCATTACACCTATATTTTCTAGTAGTAACATTTCACTTTAGCCTTCACCTAAGATGTCGTTGTCATTTGACAGTGCAAGGTCGCCTTGTGTCTCCTCAAATTCTAATCTCTAAAAGAACTTACTGATTCAGTGCTTCATCTTCATTCAGGACAAGGAGGTCGCGTCGCTGATCGAGAACCTTTATTCGAAACTGAAGCTGGTACTCGTGCGCAAGGATGAACAGAAGTCGGCCGCCTTACGCGCGCATCTAGGACGCATTGATGCACTCCTGGAGCGCCGGGGGACGAGGTGGGTGCATTTTGGTCTAAACTTGTTTCAGTCCGGTCTGGATAACTTGAACCAGTCTAATCTAATCGAAGCGAGCTTAAACTAAACTGAAAGTTTCTTATCTAATCACGTCTAATCTAATCTAGTCTGATGTAATCTAGTTAAGGCTAGGCGAAATGCTAGATTCTTTGAGTGGCATTATTTAGAGGAATTTTGAACGTAATTAAACTTTCTAATCTTTGATCCTTGACGCATGAGATGGCTTATGCCGTTCAACCTCCGCTGATATTATTTAGTCCGTTGATATTATTTAGGGAGATCGATCTTTGTAGATAGACTTAACTTCAATCGGACACAAATGTGAAGTAGCGACCATTTGATAACTCCCCTAGAGCCTTTTTTGCGTGACTTTGTTCAATAACTTCTAACAAAGAAGCTCTCTAGCAGCATGACTATTTTCGATTTAGGCGAAGATAACATACTCATAGTCTTAAAAGTGCATTCATATTATATAGCCCATTCCCATGTTATTGTTCAACACGTCAAATAATTAAAATATCTGCAGTGGTTCCAGACAACCCTCACATAATTTGTACACTTGCATAGTGTCAAATATAGATTATGGTGTCGGAAGTTTAAGACTTTGCTCGCAATTGTTTAGTAATAATATTTTTACTATTATCGTTTTATTAAATCCAGTTTTGATGTGTCGCTCCTTTTTCTTACCATGTTCCAAGAAATGGGAACTATTAAGTGCTATTTTTATGAAGGACCAGACGGCAATTAATTGTGTACGGAATATGCCGATGCTGACGAAACATTTGTGGTGACTTTCAGATTCCTAACGGGCGACACCATGTGCTGCTTCGACTGCGAGCTGATGCCTCGTCTGCAGCACATCCGCGTCGCGGGCAAATACTTCGTTGACTTCGAGATTCCGGTACTGGTTTATCACTACATAGTATAAAGCAAAGTCGTCCCGCTGACTGTCTATCCTTATGTATGCTTAGATCTTTGAAACTACGCAACGGATCTCGATACGGTTTTTCTTACCAGATTGAGTGATTCAAGAGGAAGGTTTATATGTATAATACATTAAACCCGTGCGAAGCCAGGGCAGGTTGCTAGTTAAATTGTAAAAAAAACTAGCGATCGCCCACGGCTCTGTTCGCCGCACACTCACGTTTTAAAAACGTGACTAAGTACATTCGATTCATTCTTTGTGTGTAGTAATTCAAATACATAACTGTAATATCGACAAGTGAAAAACAACGCACATCACAAACGCTTGACTGAAATATTACAGAGTCGCTATAAGATTATATAGATTAAGTTCGATCAAGACTCGCCGTAAAGGCTAGCTAAGTGAGGCCGATGGACTCGACGTAAATTTTGATTGTTGTCAAACATTCAGTCGTTATTGCACAAACGTTTTATCGCCTGAGTTGTGTTGGCTTCGCGGCTTAAGAACGCGTCGCCTGAAGAGACCGGGCTTAAACGAACAAAACCTCTTTATATACCAATATCTTCACAGTTATATAAAGCGTGTGATGTGCGATCAAAAAATGTCTTAGATCACACGAGATTTATATAGGGAGTATTTTCTAAGTGTATCCATTTTTTTATTAAATTCTAGACATAAATAATGTTATATAAAAATGATAAATATTCAAAATATTCGACTTATTATACGACGCATTTATGAATGACTACAGCATCGTCAACAAGTTCTGTTTTTTAGGGAATAGAATGGCAATTTTTTAAAAAAAAAAAAAAAGTTTGTTTTTATTTCAATAAACGATTATACTACCGAGTCTGATTGAGCGCGTTTCGCCCCCTCCGCAGACGAGTTTCCGCGCGCTCTGGCGCTACATGTACCACATGTACCAGCTGGACGCGTTCACCCAGAGCTGCCCCGCCGACCAGGACATCATAAACCACTACAAGCTGCAGCAGGTGACAAAGAATCCCTCCCCTCCCCGCGCTTGCCCATTCCCCCCCCCCCCCCCCCCCTCCCCTCCGCCTTCGCGGCGTCCGTGACATTTTCAGCGAGGCTTTGGCGCGCCTTTTCTCGTCCAAGACGTTTTTCGCGCCCTTTTTCGCGTCATAGTTTTATTTTTTTAAATTGCAAGTCACTAAAGAACCTTGATGTATGACGGTGATTTTTTTGTTGTGTCTGAAAGTGTCACCGGTTATTCCAATTGTACTCATATAAAATCAGAATGGATCAATGGTTAATTGAACCGAGACTAGTTTTAAAATGTCACAAATCTAAGGTGTAAATTATTAACAGAAATATATAACATACTCAGTATAATTGAATTATTCTCTAAAAAGGTTACCATTAAAAGGGTACCATTAAATTCGTAATAAGTAACTGTTAAATTATAATTTAACTGTCCGTTATGGTCATCTTGACGTTGACTATCGTTTCATATTACAACATTAAATTAAAATAAACAATATCTCCATTCTGATTTCCTATTATTGTATAACATTTTAGTGTTCTATATTTCTCTTGGTTATCTGTGTAAACTGTATCTTGGGCGAGCTGTACTGCAAATGCTCTCTACTTCCTATAAAAATACTTTATCTATATATGTAGCGTACCTCCTAACTGGGAATCTCACCATCGGGTAGTATATTTCACTATGAAAATGTCTCAATGTCGTCAACAGTTATCGACAAAAGGTTTGCTCATGTCGCCGACACCGGCGCGGCAACGGAACGACGCGGATGCGGCCTCGGTACGTCACGGGTGTGAAGCGTTTCGTTGCCCATGCTGAATAACTGTTACCATCGAGCCACACCATTTGCGTTTCTCCGCCACGCCCTCATAACGGTTTAGCGTCTCCCCCCCAACCTCTTGCAAAGTTCGCCGCCTTCCAATTTTATTTGCAGCTTTCATATGGATTATAATTGTTTTGGGTCGTTTGTTCGCCGTTGTTTGCCATAATCACTTCGTATGATCGCCTTCCACTTCTTCCTTGTTCCGGTTGACATAAGTCTTGGTGACGTCGATCCCACAACTTCGCGCGCAAAATAACATAACCTAGTGTTTTTTTTTTTTTTTTTTGTATAAATGTGGGAAAGTCGAAAAAACAATACAGCAAACGATAAAGAACGAACGACGAACAAACGATTTTTCACGATTAAAATCGAAAAATAGGCAAAAAGAAAAATGGGAAAGGCTAACTTTCACTTGCCTTTAACGAAACGCGTTGTGCATTGTTGTTGTCTGTGCGGGTACCGGGGCTTTGAGTAATCGTCCAACGCGAAAAACCATCGTAATCGTGTAATAATATTAAATAATAGCAAAGTAATTAAAAAAAATAAATGGATTGCTGTTATTCGTAACTCGATTACCTCTTTAATTTTTTTATGATCCCGATATTTCTGCGTTAATGAATCGTTTTATTTTACATTAGAAATATGTACCTACATTGAATTTTCTTAATATTATGCAACAAAGGTATGGTGTCAAAACAATAATAAGTTTGTGATAGCGGTTAAAACATAATCCTTGAAAGACATTTTAGTTTACGGAACAACCGGAATGTTTCACTATTTTTCTGTATTTCGGAATTGCATAGACAAAATTTTCAACTTTTTTTGTTCTCTGATTTTCTTGGCTACTAAATTCCATTCATTTTTATTTAAAAAACTTGTTAACTTTGTCGGGACATTATTACCATAATTTGTGTTGAACTCAAATTATTTAATTCATTGCTTTAAGTCCGTCAAAATCTCCATCGCGTACGCATAAAAATCAATAGGGTAAATAAAATATTCAGTCCGCTCTTCCATATTAACACATTTCGAGCTTGTATCGGTGTTGCCGTTTTGAATCGGGTTGGGTTATTTTATTAATGCATTATTAACCTTCTTGTATTGTTTGTGTATTTCTGTATGTTTCTGTTTTTTTTATTTTCAATTCTTCTTTCTTTTCTTAAGTTTAACTTGGGCATTGATATTATTTTGCGACAAATAAACTACCACGTGACATTTATATATGTATATAAAAACAAAATGCATTATTGATATTTGTATCTAACAACACTTATATTTATCATCGCTATGACAGTTTCTTCCTTCCCTTTCTCGCGTTGCACACTTCGCGTTTGCGCGAAAGGGTCGGTGATAGGTCCCACCTGACGTCGGAATTTATCCCCGCAGGCGCTCAAGATGAAGAAGCACGAGGAGCTGGAGACGCCAACATTCACCACCTCCATCCCCATCGACGTGAACGACACTAGCGCCACCGAATAGTAGACGGGCGATTGCTACGCGCGGAGCGATAGTGAACCTTGGTACAATAGAAATTAAGCAGATTGTGCTAGGGATGTCGAAAATATATCGATGTTTTCGATTTTATATGTCGATATTTTCAGCCGATATATTTCGATCCGATACATCGATAAATCAATACAAAATATATAATATCGAAAATCGCAACAAAACGATATTTTTTCATATTAGAATCCGGCACAGTCCGTAGGTGTCAAATATTTAATACTTGTGATACCTTTTTTTGATTGAAAATAGGGTTTTTGAGACCTATATCCCATATTTTCTCTTCGATATATTTTTTAAATATCGATAAATCGATATATTTTTCACCTTCGACATCCCTAGAGTGTGCTTCGTGTATATGGAATAATGCCGATATAACTCCCACTCGCAACGACAGCGAAACCCTTTCGACGACAACCGAATGTTCGGTGTTGGCCAAACAATTGTTTAATAGTATCTATCTCCGTTAATCTACACGTTGCGTTGTTGCAAAATTTGTAAACGATCAGAGATAAAAAAAACAGATATATGCCAAAACTGTTTTCGGGATCGATACACAATACATGGTTTAGTACATTTCAGTTGGAGTACATGGTCCGGCGCGTACGGTATTATTATGTTTTTAATGTGGTGATTGTTACTTTGTTGTCCTACTTTTTAGGTATGAAAACGATGGCAAGCTTCCCGCGGCCCGTTCCACGGTTTGACTCTGTATCACTGTTAGTGGGAAGTGTGTGCGGCCATTATTATTTTTTTATTTTGTTAGAAAGAGGTTTTATGTGAAAATTTCATCGTTTAGGTAGCACACGTAATCGGAAATGGGCAGAGGCGCCAGGACATGTTAATGCCATCGTAAATTACGTTTGCGCAGTTTTTGAAAAAAAAAATAAACGGCAACTTGTACGATTTAGCATAGTCGTTTTAATGGTTTAGTTTAGAGTATTTTATATTTTCAACCCTGTAATAATTTTTAAATTATTGATTTTAACGCCATTTTTTTATTATGCCTCTGCCTTCTTAAGCCAATTTCGAGATTAAATTATTTTATTTTTATGTCATGAAAAAAATATCGTGAGCGCTCTTGCCTGCCTCGAAGTTACCTTTTTTGAAGGTACTTATATTTTAAGTACTTATTTTTTTATTTAACTAAGACTTGTTGATTCTTCAATCCGATATTGACGTACTTTCGTAATTGCAAAGTGACGGATTGAATGTGTTTAAAATTTGTCATCTAAAATAATTACTATCTTGCATACTTTCTATATAACTCTATCTAATTTGCTTTTTTGTTTATGAAAAGTGATTTTTATAAGACTTTAACCTTTAAAACCCTTCAGCAAGAAATTCTCGACGGGACACATTAGTTAAACACTTAAATATTCCTAGTTTTTATTTAAACATTTTCTTTATTCGTTAAATTTATTTCTTTGCTTAGAGTCTTTTTCACTTAGAGTCTTACGAGTCTTTTGTTGATGTGGTCCAAAAATGATTTAAAACATTAAAATGTGAAAGTACATTTCAACATTTAGATATTTACGATCGAGAATTGTTAATTTAACATATTATTTTGACGGAAATTGAGATTTATGTCCCAAATAAATATTGGCGACATTATAAGTTCATCGACAAAATTTACAATATAAGTAACCTAAAATATTTTTCCAATACAACATAGTACACAAAAAGAAGGGCGGGTAATGATCAGCATGTCAATTGGACAATGTATAAAATATTAATACTTAGCAATGATGTAAACGTTATGGTTAGCGCAGAACGTTGACATGACTGTCTAAGTGTTGCTAGATAATAATTTAAACGTTAAGAAATAAACATGGATAAATATTATTAATTTTTTATTTGAGTTTTATTTTGCTTTCCTTTTAGTTTTTGGGCATAGTATATATTCTTTTTATTTTAGTTTATCATTAGGTATATGATCCATTTTCTATCTTACAATATTATAAGCTTATGTACCGCTTTGTGCCTTGCTTTTATAAAATGATTTAAAAAAAATGGCATTTACATGTAAGTATCAAGTAAGCATTCATATTAAATAAGTCCATTAGTTAAAAAAGCCAAAAATTTTATAAGAAATTAGTATTTTTGATACAAATACATTTGATAAACCATATTCAATAATGCAAAATGGCCCGCGCGTTGTAGGTTGGTGAGTGTGACATCTGTCATATAAAAAAAGTAAAGTAACAGCCTATACCTGTCATATAAATAAAATAAATCGTATTAATTAGTAAATTTTCTTTCTAAATTCATAATCTGGTTATGTATAAAAATGTCAATGGGTTGGATGGATAAAATTATATCGATCAATATAGGATATTAACGGCTTACTAAACATTTTCATAATATATACATTCGCAATGAATCTCGTATTTCCCAACGTTTAAAGTATTTATTATGATTATTATTTATTGTTGTGTGGCCAGTGATGACCTACGGAACTGAGACGTGGCCCTTTACTGCATATGAAAAAGCTCAGTCGCTCAGCGAGCTATGGAGCGGGCTATGCTTGGTATTTCGCTACGTGATAGAGTTCCCAAGGAACACATCCACAGTAGAAAAAGATAGGCGACATAGCTCCTAAGATTAGTAAGCTGAAACGGCGAAGGGCCAGTCATATATTTCGTAGAACTGATAAAGATGAGGAAGAAAGGTTCTTGAGTCGCAGCCTCGTATTTGCCCTCGCAGTGTAGGACGACCCCCCACTAGGTGGAGTGACGACCTTTGCAAATGTACGGGAAGCCGATGTATGCAGTTGGCTCAGGATCGTGCGTTGTGGCAGTCTGTGGAGAAGTCCCATGTTCAGAAGTGGTTTCAAACAGACCGAGATGATGATGATAATAATTGTATTAAATACGTTTTTTCCCGAATCAAATTCCGGATAATTTTTCAGTTTTCAATCGACACTAAATGCTAGGCCCTGTGAATCGATAATCGAAATTAATATTAATTTGAGTAAAACTTGTTTAATCTCTAGTTATGTCTAACTGTGACTAACCCGCACCAAGCTACAGCACAAAGACTAAGTCAAATTCAATTTCATAAACTGACAATAAGTACATTATATCTTTAAACCTATCGAGCATGCACGTATGCACGACCAACTGCCTAACTGGTCAAATTTACTGTAGGTGTGCCACAATGTAGCGTCTGTTATTGCATGAATGGGCTGACTCGGGCGGAAGTGCAAGTATTGATAGTTAAGCGTTTCGTCTGGTCAATGAGGTATTTGATGGCCTGCCATAAAATACATAAGCACGGAAACCACGCTGCTGTTGTGAATCGCCATGGATGGAATTAATCGCTTGTCATCAGATGTGTCGCTCTTTCAATTGCCACATCCTCTTACGAAATAAATATGACTTTCGAACTCTAGATGCCAACAGTCGTATTCAACAAGCTTCGATGTGTATTCTTAAATCGATAGTTTAGCATGTAAAGTTTACAAATGTAAGCATAAAAGAATTGATATTATAAATATTCATATATTACGATTGCTATTATCTTTAAACAATAAACTTCTCAAACTCTATTATATCAATAAACTTTTTGTACATTTAATAAAAGTGACAAATATAATTGTGTTTTATTTCAACAGTGAAAATTACTGTACATTAGCTCATGAATTTATATTTTTCTATATTAATAATTTTTGTAGAGTTTCGGTATTCGAACCTACGTCTTCCGGGTAACGCGCGCAGACAATGCCATCTTAGGCCATACCGAGGCCCTAGGGCACACAAGAATTTGGGGGCCTGTTGAAAAGTAAAAAAGGTTTGTTGCACCAGGGGATGTACAAATAACTCACGTCCGAATTGAATTTATCCTGGATTGAATTTATCCCTAAAATGTTATAGTTTTCCACGGGACACCAAGTGTGCTGGTGGTGAAATATAACCTGACAGATTTAATACATGACCTGATTTAAACAATTTTTGATCTTTAAATACGTTGGGTACAACGCACGATTAGGCTGGGTCGTGTAAATATTTCGTGTACAGTCATGTCATGTTTTGTGTCAATTTCGGGCCCCCTCCTTCCGGGGCCCCTGGGCACGGGCTCCGTGTGCCCTTGAGGTGAAGAAGTTACCGCGCGCGGATATCCATACACTTTCCTTACTGCATTTTTAGCAATGCTTGGCACCATCTAACCTGCATACTTAACAACATGAAACACCTTTGAAATGATATTCAACAAAAACTAATATGAAACGAGATATGGTGCCTTTGGTGTTGTCTCTACATGCAAGATGAAATTTAAAGAAATGTTTTATAAACAAATAGACAAAAACTTTTGGCGCTGTGAGATTCGAACCTGCCTGTTCCGCGTGGGTAATACGCCTATACGCTTTTAAAATAATAAACCAATAACCATTAAATCAAATACATGTGTACAGTTCAGTTATTTGACAATACAATAAAGTATTACGTACATTTTTTTAACTTGTTCAAGACAAGACTTATGCTATTCGTATTTCACATAGCTAAGCTAAGCTCTGCCCTAAAACGTGACAGCCTGTCAGACAGACACTGACAGATGCCTAGAAAAACATAAATAGACTAGACTTGGGAAAGGACATAGTTTGAACACCGTTTTTGTAAAGGAGACGAAGGAGTTGAAATAAGGGATGAATTTGTATGGGAGTTCGTCATTATCGAAGATAAAACCTTGAAACTTTGTATTTAGTCAATTTTTAAGAAGTAAATATTAGCGTTTGTTATAATATAGTGTTTTTTAAATTTCAACCTACATGGAGACAAAACATGAGATGAAAGTCCTAACAAATCTGTCTATGTTTACTAGAGTGATACTGAAAGTCCATCCGACCACGAACTCACAGAAGACGGGCATACAGTGTTATTTTGTATAATTAGATATGGATAAATAAAAGATTAATTGGGGCAAAGCTACGGATGCGAGCTAAAGATTAAGATGATAATCAACAGGATGTCATT